GGCGAAAAGTTCAGATATTTGAACTCTGGCGGCGGCTCGGGCGGCTGCGGCTTCTGCAGCACCGCATGCACGGAAAACRCTCTGCGCCCCTTCCGCCTTCCTTGCGCGCCGCTCATAACGCGCGTGATGCGACGCACAACCCCTTGAGGCGCGTTCGCCATAGACTTTGCATGTAAACTRGCAGCTCCTGCCGCTCAAAACGCTCTCGGTGTGAACGAGCCTTTAGCCCTGCGTAGTTGCATGTGACTTTCTGCTGCGTAATTTAACATTGCGTTTATTTCCCTACGTCTCCTGGCAGCGTTAAACAYAGCCTGTACTAGCTGAATAGATAGAATAATTACAACTTGCCCAATAGCAAGGCATTCACGAAAAAATCACTCCATTGTCCCGAGATGATTAGCCTCTGCTAGTTAGCAAGTTTCACTTCCTGTTTACTACCGCAAAGCTTGTCGCCAATGTCTCACATAATCACGCGTTGCTTAGCCTCGTCTGACGTAATCACGTGTTGCGTAGCCTCGTCTGATGGAATCACATGTTGTGTAGCCTCGTCTGACATAATCACGCGCTGCGTAGCCTCGTCTGACGTAATCATGCGTTGAATAGCCTCATCTGATGTAATCACGCGTTTATTAGCCTCATCTGATGTAATCACGCGTTACATAGCCTCGTATGACGTAATCATGCGTTGCGTAGCCTCATCTGATGTAATGACGTGTTGCATAGCTTCCTCTGACGTAATCACAAGTTGTGTAGCCTCATCTGACGTAATCACGCGTTTCTTAGCCTCATCTGACGTAATCACGTGTTGCTTGATAATTGAATGATCTATCTGAGGCTGAATCCCTTTTTGATTGACAGTGAAATGAGCGAATCAGTGATCTTTTGGTGTAAACATTCCGTGGGAGCAGTTTTTTAGGGTGTATTCAGACCTGACAATTTGCTCTGCTTTAAACGGACCAGAGTTCATTTCCAGCATTGGTCTGGACCTTTTGTGCMGGTTAGAATACACTCATGTGAACTATGGGCTCTCCCTTAGAGATAGGGTKAGAAGCTCAGTCATCCAGGAGGGACTCAGAGTAGAGCCGCTGCTCCTCCACGTCCAGAGGAGGCAGTTGAGGTGGTTCATCTGGTTAGGATGCCTCCTGGACCCCCACTGGGAGGAGACCCAGAGGAAGACCCAGGACACACTGGAGGGACTATGTTTCTCAGCTGTCTGGGAACACCTTGGGATTCACCCAGAGGAGCTGGTCCAAGTGGCTGGAGAGAGGGAGGTCTGGGTCTCTGCTGAGGCTGCTGCCCCCGAGACCTGACCCTGGACAAGAGGAAGAAAATTGATGGACAGTGGTTTCTGAATCACCACCTACTCTGGTGCAGGACTTTGTGGACCTGAATGATCCTAGGAGCTCGAGGGACATTTGTCCCTGGTAGGGTTTCCAAGTCAGACTGGTCCTGGGGTGAGGGACCAGACAAGTTGGTGGAGTCTCTCTACTTAGTAATAATGAAATAAAATGTATATTAATAAAATGTCAATTGTTGATAATCCTATGGAAATAACTACAGATGAAATATTATATAAAATTCTAAAAATATAACTTCATCACCATTTTTATTATTGTTACAAATGGAGAGGTAACAGGTGGTATATTGATGACTAATGTAAGTGATCATTTACCAATTTTCATAATTTATAAAAATGGTCAGTGCAACACAAAAGTACCGTATTTATTCAAGTATAATACGTAAAATTTAATCCATAAAATTATCCATAAGGTTGGGGGGTAGTACTATACTCGGATAAATTTTTTACTTATGTAGTTTAAACGAAATATCGGCTTCATTCACAAAATGCCTGAGTCCGGAAATGAGACCGCATCATAAAAAGCAGCTAAAGCGAGATTACCTGTGACAATCCTTCGTGGTTCAGAGTGAGATAACAGATCCAGACAGACGACTTGATGTGAAAAAAGGTGGAAAAAGCTGTCCTGCAGCTCAGTAATGATAACGAACTAATGACATTAGCATGTGACCGAGCCACTGCTAGAACAACAACAAACACATGTTCGTCTGAAATGGCGGTCGTCTACCGGTGTTCTGAAAAAGTTTGTATCCCTGAAAAAATGTTTCCCCACCAGAG